AGGCTCAAAACATGAACACACCTCAGCATATGCATGGAATGGATCTCAAAACTCAAAGCTAAACATGGACCTTGAACTATAAGCATGCAAAACTAACATCATTCAACCACAAGACCCAAAAATAGAGCTAGGGAAGTCCAAAATGAGCACATTATCAGTCTAAGGCATGGCCAAAATATGCTAGAATCAATGGCCTATAAAGCATGCAAAGAAAGCTAGTGAACCATGAGTTGTTCTACAACTATATGAAGCATATGAGGGCTCACCCAACCAGTCAAAAACAGAAGTATTTCATGCCAAAATATGCCCAAATAACCACTGAAACTCAGTCAACACATGCAAGAATGATGAGCCCCTTTGGAAAGCCATGCGAGGGGTTGTTCTACACATACACGGTAGACAAACAAAAGGGCAAAACTACCTCTGGAAATAAGTTATGACAGCCCTAAAACTCACCAAAAAGGCCCTGAAATGGATCAATGAAGCATGCAATGAAAGGCCCCTTTGAAAGACCTTGAATGGAATTGTTCTACACATGCATTATAGACACAAAATATGGCCAAAAGGGCTCCAAATAGAGTCAAGGCAGACCTCAAAACCCACCAAATAGGGCCTGAAATGTGACTTCGCAACATGCAAAATGGAACTCCTTTGGAAGGCCAAAAGGGCCAACTAACAAGATAAGGAGAGAGGGGGTCACCCCCTCTGATTTTAGGGCTCAAAGACACATCTAAGCCACTAAAATCCACTGGATTTCAGTGCCTAAAATGCCAAACCAAGGCCAATGCAAATGCTCTAATGCATAGCCCTAAACATGAGGGAATGAAGCATACAAAGGGGAAGGTGACCCCAAACAGAAAAGTGACCTTAAGTAAACATGTTTATAAGCTCAAAAGGAAACTTTTTTAAGTTTATGAAAAATCTCAAAAATTCTCACAAGTAGGGCTAAGATATGATGCAAAATAAGCCTACAAAGAGGGATAAAGCATACAAGGAGGTATATGACCTCAACCAGAAAAGTGTCCTTATACAATCTTCAAGAGGAGCTCAAAATAAGATACTTTTCAGTTTATGACAAAGTCCAAAAAATCTTGCAAATAGGGCTAAGATAGGAAGCAAAATAATGCAAAAAAGAGGGAAATGGTGTGTTACCCTTGAAGCTCAAGAAGACAGCAGCAAAAAGGGTCCAAACTCTGAGCTAAAACCAGATTTTGGAGCTCAAAATGATCCTCAAAGAACCTCAGCCCAATGGTAGTTGAGTTTGATCAAGGGTGCCTAAGCAAAGGAGAGGTATATCTCCAAGTATAGCTCTTGCTATGCACAAAAAGGCAAGAGAAGGAGAGAGAGGTAGAGATTTGGCTCTGAAATTTCTAGTGAGAGAGGGATTTTTTAGAGTGAGAAGCTCCCAAAACTTGCTTAGGAAGATTGTCCTTGAAAATGAGAGATATAACTCATATATAGCCATATACAAGAGTTGGTTCAAAAAAATCTGAGTTTGGAACAGCTGGAGGTTGTGGAAGACAGCTGGAGGATAAATATTTGAGTTTGGGACCTGTAGACCACTTTTCTGGTCGGCCAGCCACTTTTTCTGGTCGGCCGACCACTTTTTCAGGAGAGGGTGGTCGGCCAGCTACCTTTTCGGGTCGGCCAGCTAGTTTAGGAAAATTCTGCTTTCCAGGTCCAACTTCAAATGGCCATAACTCCTTCATATGTACTTTTTCAGTTCATTATTGTGTCCAAATTGAAGCCCCAGAAGTTATCTTTCCAATGGAACCAGCCTTGTATTAAAATTCCTCCTGTGAAAAAAGTTACGCCTGTTTTGGTGAAGCCGCGCAGATTCGGTCCAACCGGATTCATGCCGAACTTCTCCCAAACTAGTTTTCTTCTCTCCTTTCCTCTTTTCTTCAACTCCAAACCCCTAAACAAAGTGTTTTGAAATATTTTTCAAAGATTTCATCTCTCTTTCATTCATTTCTACTTTGTCCTTGCTCGATTTACCGAAAAGCGCAACATTTGACAAAATGCGAGCCTCGGAACATCGTAAAAACTTTATTTCAAAATCATTTTGAAAGAGAGGGTTTTAAGGTCTAAAATCTTTTGATCAAGATTGTTTTGGTCCAAAAAGGGGTATGAAGTTGAGATTTGACTCTCTCCTTGCTGAAGAAACTGAACCTTTCCCCCGCACACCTTTCTCTACTATGTAAACCATCAGTTGCGTCCAAGTCTTAAGGGCGGTCAAAAATGGGATGTCTACATGCCGTGGATTGGTGAGTGGAGTGAGAGTTTTGGCTGGCTGATGAATGAATGGAGCAAACCTCTAACATTTATCACACTTCTGTACGTACTGCTGAGCATCTTGTTGCATCCATGGCCACCAATATCCGTGAGTGAGGGCTCAGTGCTCTAGTGACCTTCTGCCAACGTGGCATCCACAAATCCCATCGTGAATTTCATAGAGAACATTCTCGACCAGATTTGGATGCACACATAGAAGATAAGGGCCAAGATAGGAGCGTCTGTACAGCTTCCCGGATGGTGAGATCCCAAACCGAGCTGACTTATGTCTGACTTTGTTGGCTTCCTTTTTGTCTTCGGGGAGAGTACCAGATTTTAGAAAAGTAAGTATTGGATCCATCCAGCTCGGCTCTACGCTGTTGTAGAGGACTGGAGATGAAATGCTTGGTTCTGGCACGAATTCAACCCAAACTTTTCTGGCATCTTTGGTATCCACTGATGAGCCGAGACAAGCCAGAGCATCAGCATGGCCGTTTTTGTCCCGACTAATTCGTTTCACTCGTATGGATTGAAACTTTTTGAGTAAGTCTTTGGCCTTGCCTGCGTACATGGCCATTCTTTTATCCCGTGTTTCATAGACCCCAGAAAGCTAGTTTACCATTAGCTGTGAATCGCTGAAAACAAGAAGCTGTTCTGCATTGAAATGTTCGGCACTGCGTAAGCTAGCCAATAACACTTCGTACTCTGCCTTGTTGTTCGAAGCCTTCCAACCGAGCCTGAGAGCCTATTCCCAGATAAATCCTTCTGGTGAGATAAGTACTACTCCTGCCCCCGAACGTCGGTTATTGGATGACCCGACAATATAGAGCTGCCAGATGTTTCCAATGAAGAGTTTCCAGGCTTCCGAAGCGCAGGGCTTTCCTTGTTCGATGATGCATGGCACCTGTGCCGAAGTTGGATTCCCTGGTTCAGTACTCTGGGTGGGAGTAAATTCTGCGACAAAATCTGCTAAGACCTGGGCCTTAATTGCTGTCCTGGGTTGATACCAAATGTCAAACTCGCCAAGTTCTACCGCCCATTTTGTTGTTCTGCCAGAGAAATCGGCTCGGCTAAATACAGATCTGAGGGGGAATTCAGTGAGGACATTGATGGTATGCCCTTAGAAGTAATGTTATAACTTCCTCGAGGCGATAAGCAGCGCGTAAGCTAACTTTTCCAACGGTAGATACCGTGTCTCGACATCTAGTAAAGCCTTGCTATACAGGCCTCTGTTCCTTGTTAACTTCTCGAATTAATACTGCGCTTATGACATGATCTGAGACTGCTAGATAGAGGTACAGCTCCTCTCCTGGCTTTGGAGTGGACAGAAGGGGAGGTGTACTGAGGTATCTTTAGAGGCTTTGCAGTGCTTCGGTGCACTCGCAACTACATTCAAATGGTGTCTTTTTCCTCAAAAGCTGGAAGAAGGGCTTCATCCGATCTGAAGATTTGCTGATGAACCGATTCAGTGCGGCCGCCATTCCGGCCAGTTTCTGCAGCTCCTTAGCCTTTGTTGGTACTTCAAGATCTTGTATTGCTTTTATTTGGTCTGGATTCGCCTCAATTCCTCTGTGAGTGACCATATATCCCAATAACTTCCCTGTTCTTACCTCGAAAGTGCATTTCGAGGCATTGAGGCGAAGCTAATGGTTTTTTAAGATGCCGAAAACTTCTCTCAAGTTTGTAAGATGGTCTGTAGCGAACTTGCTCTTGACTACCATATCATCTATATAAGCTTCCATGGTTTTCCTAAGTTGGTCTTTGAACATCCGAGTGATCATCCGCTGGTAGGTTGCTCCGGTGTTCTTGAGGCTAAACGGTATCACTTTGTAGCAGTAAGTTCCTCTCGGAGTGATAAATGTTGTCTTTTCTTGATTCGGACCGAACAGTGGTATCTGATGGTAACCGCTATAAGCGTCCAGAAAGCTCATGCCCTGCTGTTGAGTCTTCTAGTTGATCAATGTGAAGCAGCAGAAAGTTATCTTTTGGGCAGGCTTTGTTCAAGCAAGTGAAGTCAACACAAACTCTCCATTTTCCGTTCTTCTTCTTGACTACAACTGTGTTGGACAGCCATTGCGGGTACTGAACTTCTTTGATTGCTCCTGAAGCCAGGAGTTTTTCGACTTCGGCAATTACTGCTTCGATGTGCTCAACTGAGGATCTCTGACTTTTCTACACGATGGACCGAGCTGAAGGGTTGATGTTGAGCTTGTGGCAAGCAAATTCTGGGTCCAACCCTGGAGTATCATATGCTGACCATACGAATACCTCCATATTTTTCCTCAGCAGTTCCAGCAGCTGAAGTTTCTCATCAGCGCCTAGTGAGGTACCGATAAGTAAGTACTTTTCTGGGTCATCCTCTTTTACCAGGACTCTCTCCAAATCCTCTACTATCTTCTCCTCTGGGATCCCCTTGCATTTTCCAAGATTGGCTGTTCGGCCACTTCTACCGTCTGTACCTGATTGCAGAGCTGTTTTGCCTTTAATGCTGCCATGAAGCAATGTTTGGATACAACTTGATCCCCTAAGATCTGCTCTACTCCGTGTTCCGTTGGGAAACGGATGAGCTGGTGGTAGGTTGAAGGAACTGCCTCCATTTGATGAATCCATAGACGGCCAAGTATGGCGTTGTAAGGGGATGGTGTATTAATAACCAAGAACTCTATCTGGAGGGTTTTTGTTCCTGCCACGACTGGCAACACTATTCTGCCAAGCGGCCATTCTGGCTATGAATTGAAACCAACCAACGGGGCTGCCACTGGGGTGAGGTGCTGCTCGGAGAGACCAAGCTTTCTGAACAAATCATAATACAATATATTTGCTGCACTGCCTTGATCTATCAGGACTCGTTTTACATCAAATCGTTTCCCAATTCCCACAGTTATAATCAGTGCATCAGTATGTGGGTGCTGTATGCCCTCTAAATCTTTTCTAGTAAATGAAATAGTGCACAAGGGGGATTTGGATACCGCACGTACCTTTTTCGATGCGGGCTCCACTGACATGACTTGTTGGATTTGCACAGCCTTAGCAATCTCTTCTCTCAGTGTCTCCTCAGGTTCCTGAGTCGCTGTCCTGTGGATCACATTTATTATCAGCTGAGGTGGATGCTCAATAGTTGGTTCTAGTGGTGGGCTCCCCGGTTCGGTCACTTCCTTATCCTGATCAATGTAATCCCGAAGGTGCCCAGCTGCTACTAAGTCTTCCAAGTGTTGTTTCAGTGCTCTGCAGTTCTGAGTCATGTGCCCCCTGTCTTGATGGTAAGTGCATCTGAGCTTCTGATTGCGCCGAGCCGGATCTCCCAACATTTTCGGCGGCCAAACAAAGAAGGGCTCTCTATTGATCTTTTCCAGGATTCGATAAATTGGCTCTTTGAACACAGTCACGACGGCTTCATGGGATTTGGACTTATCCACTTTATTCACTGCGATCCCTCTGTGTTCTCCTCGATCTGTTCTCTTCTTATGCTGAGCTGTTTGTTCTGCTAACACTACCTCAATGGGGATCTGATCATCTTCGAGGCGAGCGTATTGCTCAATCCTGGCATGCAAGTCTGTTAATGTTGTGGCCGAGCACTTGGTAAGTGATTGTCTCAACTTACTTTCCTGGTGCAGGCCATGCTTGAAAGACAAAACGGCCATCTGTTCACTACACACATTTTCTTCCAGATCATTGTATTATTCCCAGTATCTCCTAGCATAACTGTGCAGTGTTTCTTCTTGGTCCTTTCGAAGGCCGAACAGTGTATCCGGCTCTTTCGGAATCTTAGTGTTGGAGACGAACCTGGCTAGGAACTATTCGGAGAGTTACTTCTAGCTACGGATCGATCCAGTGGGGAGTTGATCGAACCATCGGAGTCCGGTTTCTCCCAAGCTTGATGGGAAGACTTTGCACATCAGTGCCTCATCTCGGCTCCATAGGGACATCATTTGTCTGTAATGGCTAATTTGTGTCAGCAGGTCTGACTTCCCATCGTATGAAGTGAACTTTGGTGGGGTGAATTTCTTTGGAGGTCTCATGGCCTCAATTTCCAGGAAGAATAGTGAGGAGACGAGCCTATCCAGCGCTCGGTGTTCTCTCTGGTGAACAGTATGGTCTAAATGATCCCAATGTTGTTCACTTTGCTTGTTGTCGATCAACCAAGTACGAAGGTCTTGAGGGGGGTATTCAGTTTGTTAACTAACCGTCTTCTGCCTCTTGGCCCTTCTCCGGCGTGACCCACGGGTATGACTGCTTGCTGCCTCACTCTATATCGAGATAGGCTGGCTTTGTTGCCCAGGCTCATTCCTGGGGAACTTCTTCACTGATGACTCTCTGGATGAACTCCTCCGTCGCAAACGAGAGGGCTCTGCTTCCGTCTTCTTTTCCGTCGGATCGCCCAGCACCCTCTTAAGTTAGGCTTTCAGCTCCTGTATCTCCATCCCCATGGAGTCTATGATTCGATCCCTGTAATCTTTTTCCAGAAGAAAGTGATGAGAAGAACCTCCAGTGAAGGGTAATCGATGCTCGACGGATTCAGGGGTCCGGTTGTTGTTTCCGGTTTGTTCTCCCAGAACTATTAGGAGTGCCAAGCCTTTTTCCTTTGTCTTCTCCATCTGTGGGGTATGTGCTGAAGGCGGAATGTCCTCAATCCCCATCGCCGGAACAGAGCGCAGAGCTTAGAGATGAAGTGATCCATATTCACCGCACCAATTGTACATACCAGATTTTGCACTAGATGAAAGTGGATTGGGGCCCTGCACTCGGTTGGACTATCCAAGGACTGAGGTTCCTTCCACAAGAAGCACCGTTAGAGCAGCCCGGCCGGGGTTGGCCGGATAACCCCTCCGGCGTGGGAATCAGTGATTGGAGAAGGAGTGTATATTGAGTTGAGTTTATATCTAAATGTAGTTTTTCTTGGAATAGTTCAGTTACCTTCAATGCGAAGTTCATGTTGTATATATAGTGTTCCTTGCTTGCTTCTCAAGGTGGGTTCATGGAGCTTGGATGCTGCCAGGTGTCCTTTTAGCATTGCTCAACGTAGGGGACCACCTGGTAGTTGTCATTGAATGCATATACTCATTGTAGTCATGCTGATAACAAACCACATTCCTTTGGTTTAACAACTTCCGTGATTCTAGGTGTAGGGGACCAGCTGAGGTGGCAACTTGCACATGCACACATTCACAACTTCCACGTTTCCTTGCGAGGTTTCCTCAGCTCGGTACCGCTGTGCCTCAGCTCGGCATCATTATACCTTGTCTCAGCCTTTTACAGGATCATTCATGGAGATGGGCTGATCAGTTCAGATATCTTTGTATGGGCTCGGCCTATTTTCTGTTCGGCCCATAGGTTCAGTCTCGCAGCTCGGCCCAGCCCAGCACCACGGCTGGACTAGCCTTTCCACTACGGGTTGGGCCCAAGTGCTTGAGAACTTGCGTGGATTGTTGATCATGAAGTTAGGCTCAATTGGTTTGCCCATATACTCATCCAACCCACTTGGATTTGGATTTCAATGGATTGGGCTGGCCCAAGGCTTGGACCCGACCCATTTCAAATTTAGCCCCTTCACTAATGGCTTTCCCTCTGCAATATTGTTGTCTTCTCACCTTCTTCTCTCTCATTTCTCTTGCTAGCTCCATACCAACATCGACAACCCAATTCAAGCCTCAAACGCTCGTTTTACTAGTTCAGAAAGATGGTGCCACGAGCCTTCATGTCGCTAACATCCACAAGAGAACCCCTCTCATGTCGATTCCCTTTGTTGTCAACCTAAATGGCAAGTTGTCATGGGTAAACTGTGAGAAACACTACCTCTCCTCAACCTACAATGCCCCATTTTGCCACTCAACACAATGCTCAAGAGCCAACAGCCACTATTGCCACAAATGTATCTCCCTAGTTAGGCCGGGCTGCCATAACAACACATGTGGAGTCCTGACCACCAACCCTATCACGAACTGAAACGCCATTGGTGAGCTTGCCCAAGATGTCCTTGCAATACAATCGACTAGAGGGTTGGGCCCTTGTAGGTCCAGCTCCATGGTCATCGTACCACAGTTCATTTTTGCTTGTGCACCTTCTTTCTTGTTATTGGACCTTTACCCAAAAATGTTCAAGGGATGGTTGGTTTAGGGCACTCCCCAATTTCCCTACCAAACCAACTTGCTTCAAACTTTGTAATTGGGGCAAAATTTGGCTTGTGTCTCACTTCCTCTTCCAATACTAATGGGGTTATTTTCTTTGGAGATGGGCACTACAATATGACTCCTGGAATTGACATATCTAACTCGAACCACCGATTTGGATATGGACCAGTATAGTGGTGAGAATGAAATTCATAGCCGTAGCGTCCGAGTCGCTATATGTGGTGGCTTGAATCCGATACATACGGTGATACAGTCCGACACAAGTTGGTGGTCGCCGGTTCGGATGAAAATCAGCGCAGAAAACCTACAAGATCTAAGCTTCTTTGGGCTGTGGAGTTCACTTCGATCTTCAAGCTTCTTCAGAGAAGGTTTGTCCCTGAGTTACAGGTTATAAATTGTGCTTATGCTCTGTTTTTGGTGAGTTGTTGTGCTATGCTCTGTTTTTGACGAACCAACTGCTATGCTTTGTTGTGCTAAATGTTTGCGGTTTTTTTTTTTTCTCTCTCTTCATTCTATATATATTTGTTTATACACCTACACTACACCACTATTTATATTAATATATATATATATATATATATATATTTCTGTTGAGCAGAGCAATGGAAAAAAAAATAAGAAAAATAAATATTCAAATCAAATCTGTCAAAAGCTTGGATTAGTGGAAAGGTTTGTTATTGGGTTTTTTATTTTATTTTATTTTATTTTATTATTATTATTATTTGTGTCTTGCTTTGGTGTAATTGTTTAAGATTTAGATTTTTTTTTTTTAAAGAGGTTTATTCTAATCAGATTTTTTATTTTTATTTTAAATATATTATTGTTACCAACTAAATTAGAATTAAAATATTTGTCAATTGAAATTTATTATTGTAGATAATTGAAAGTTATAATTGAGACTAAAATAAATACATATCATTTAGTTGAAAATGAGTTAAAAGTGCTCTACATATCAAAATTTTGATTAAAATCTGACAAATTAAGGCTAAAAGAGTCAA